CTGCTGACAGGTGAAGACAGCTGTGAACCACAGGTGTGGCCAAACCGTGTGACCAGGTGTTACTTGGTGACTGATGGGAGCCACACTGGAGATTTTCAGGAGATGTGGCAGCCCTGAGGCATTTTGAGCAAAGCTGTCTCTGAACATGCAGGGCAAGGGTGGTGGTGAGTGGCACTGGCTTACATTTGAATGCAATAGGGAAGAGCTGTACCCACCCAGCTGGGTAGCCTCTCATCCCATTTATCTGCAGAGTAAGTCAGCTTGTCCCCCACCCACATGAGCTGGCCACAGCAGCGGGCACAAGGGCAGCTGGCGGTCAGGGCAAGCCAGGACATGCCAGCTACTGGCAAACAGCAGGGCTGAGAAATGTCTCACGGATGGAGATGCATCCCAATGCAAAAACCAAGACACAAGGGTAGTCAAATTGCTAGACAAACCACTTCTGTCATCTCAGAAGGAGACTGGATATGCTAAGGTAACAAAAATGACCTAAAATAATGAGATACCTTTAACCATTTGTCTTCCTTTTTTTTCCTTCTTTTTTTTTTAGTCTGGAGTCCATGGGATTAAGTAATTTGCCTCTCCATAATAGGTAGCATTTACTTCTTTTTAACAGGCTGTCCTGGTTTAGTGAGACAGAATTTTAGACTCAAGTTTTCTGTTGAGGAAAACTGCAATTTTTGTAAGGACTACAACACTCTATTTCATGGGATCAAAGTTGATGAAAACTTGGTTATAGGTTTGAGCTAATACTGGTATGCAGGATGCCATAGTGGTCAAGGTCTTCAAGGTCTTGAGATAAACCTGTGCAGAAGCTGAGGTGTGCAGAAACCTAGGGGAGTCGACCCCAAGGTGACTCCAGGCTGACCAGTTAATACTACTCATACCATAAACATCACAGTCTCTATAAATTGGGGAGTTTACTGGGGACAGACCTTCTCCTCCTCTCCCTCCTGCTTCATCTTCCATGGTTGACATCTCAAGAGGGACTTGTTTACCATCCTAACCTTGAGGCCTACTCTGCCCCAGTATTGTCCGAGTATAACTGTGTATTTTATATTATGAATGTTATTAATAGAAGTATGCTGTTGTTGTTATTATTTTTAAATATATTTCTATTTCGACTTATGAATCTCCTTTCCTTTTCCCAACCCCCATCCCTGGGTGGGGAGGAGGCATCGTGTAATAGAGCAACTATATTCAACCGCAATACATGCTCACTAAGATGCCCAGCAAAACCACACAACACTGGAAGCTAAGGCCAAAGACACGAAACATCAGGAAAAGAAGAAACGGAGCAATATGGTAATGCACACTGCTGTGGACCAGTGGCCCATGGACAAAGTGCCTGTTTTGGCCAGGCGCTACATAAGGTGCTTGCCCTTCTGCAGCTGTTCCCACACACAGGGCTTTGGCACAGTGTCTGAAGCAGGAGACAGGAATGCTTCATTCCCAGCCCCACATGCCTGGCACATGCAGGTCTGATAAAGCCACCATCAGCTCTGGCCTAGAGCCTCTAGCCAGCTCCTCACAGCTGTAGCATGAGGGACGTCATTGTTGCTTTGCTCTCTGTGACTGCAGCAGCTGGTGTCCTAACCCTAGGGCAGGAATAGGGTTCCCAGGGCATCGAGTGCGGTGGCAACGCTATATGAGCCAGCTACATTGGAATAATGTTGGCATTGTTAGCACCATTGATGCAGATCCTCCTGGCTGGGAGCACGATGGGTTCATTTTGCAGCAGGCCGGCAGGAGGAAATGGGGAGACCTCTGCAGGAAGGAAGTGAATAAACACCTGTCCTGAATCCAAGGGACAGGCAGAGGCTGGGGATATCAAGTGCAAGAAAGGAAGACGGTGTGAAAACTTTCCTTTACAGCGGAAGATAACTAGAGGAGGCTGCAAAATCAAAAAAACTGGACAAATTCTTTTAATAAGCAGATACAATGAGAGAGATAGTCCTCACTTTAGGGGCCTCCTTGCCTTATTTTTTACATCGTGCACAAGAACGTGACTGGAAAGAGATGGATTCTCTGGCGTGTGCCTGAGCCCGGGTGGTTTTGAATACCAAACCTGTCTGAAAAACAATCATCACTAGGGCTTGCTATAAGCATTTCAAGGACAATGAACATCTACAAAGTCCCTGTGCAGGACATGTCAGACAGGCTCCAGGGGTGCTCGAAGAGTCCTGAAGGGGTAGGTGAGGGTGAGGGTTAGGTGGTAGAGCAAGCACAGACTTCCAGTGTTAGTGGGGCTGTGAAAGCGTGTGATGGATACCCCTTATTGAGACCTCGAGCTCTCCTTTTTATCTTTTTTTTACCCTCAAAGTACTTCATTGAAGCTAGACAATCTAAGCGGATAATTTTATGGGGTTTTTTTGTGTTTACCTTTTCTCACTTAAAGGCAGAGTCCATGCTGACCACCTCCTGTCACAAGTGACATGCAGGGGATTCATGACTACTTCTTCAAAGGTTGGAGAGTGGTTTTGCTGTATCTACCTTATTTCCTTCTTCTTTAGTGAGATTACATGTGCCATAAGATTACATAGATATACATGTGTATAAAAACTTACCTAAGTGACAGATATATAAACCAGTCAGCACACAGGTAGAACAGAAAGCAGTGGGAGTGTAGGGACAGAGCTGCACAGAGCCAACTCCAGAGGGGGCCTAGGTGTCTCTGTAAGGGGCAGTGAGAAAGCTATGTAACCCTCCCTTTCCTGGGACCACAGGACTGGCAGCGATGCATGTGAGGAATGAGCAACTGTGTTCTGAGACACGTGGCCACCGGTGCTCGGTTCGCTTCAGCAGGGTGTGACAAAAAAAGAATCAACTGCAGGGATCAAATTAACAATTTATTTCAACAATATATGCAGATCCAATGCATTGCTATTGCAGGTTCTATGGATACAATGGAGAAATGTGTTACTGCAGTTTTAAAAGCAAGACTACTGTATTACAACCACAAGAGCTTCCCAAAATGCAATACTGCAACTGCAACAGTCACAAAATGCACTATTGCAGCCCACAGGCAGTTCATGACAGGCCACAGACTACTCACAGAACTCACTATTACTGCCTATAAGCAATTCACAACAACTCCCAGGCTACTCACTAAATTCACTATAACAGCTCACAGGTGGCTCATGAAACACACTATCACAACTCACGAACAACTCACAACACAACATGTGTGTTAGCCAATCACCCACGACTACAAACTTAAAGCCTGCCAAATATTCACTTACCCCTCCAGGTAAAGGCTCCCATATAAGTTACCTTGGCCGGCATCCCGACCAAGGGAGAGGGTTCTGATCACTCCATGGCTGGAAAAGGAACTCCCAATTTCTAGCATGAATCTTAGGGGTTTTATTTCCTGATGTATGTGATAGCAGACAGCAGTGTGTCTGAGTGGATTAGACCACTTGAAGTATTTGTCTTTAGCAGTGTCTCCCCTTATCTTTAGTTAGTCATGGGTTGTGTTCCCTTCTGAATGCTCTATCTCTTGCAAATCTTTGCATTGTCTGGGTCTCTTGAAACCAAATGGAAACCCTCCAGCTTACCTTTATCTTACTTTTAGGCAACTGAATGGTGGTTTGATTGGGACTCAGGGCATATCAGCAGAGACAGGGCCTCAAGGCAATCCAAGGCTGAGTTGCTCTTGCAATCCCCCATATGTCACCTGGTGCACTGGACATTACCATAACCTGTTTAACTATGAGCAAGACTGATCTTTACACAGGGCTGAGTAAGATTTGAAGAACTCCTTCTTTGCTTCCTATTACAATATAATTTCTAGAAGGTATATCTGCTTCTATTTTGTTTCATGTTCTCCTCTGTTGATTCAGAGACAGCATGAATCAATCAACTATCAAAACTATTGGGAGTTGACACACCATTGCAAACTTGTGACCTTGTTTTCTTGGTTGCTCTCAGTACAAGAAAAGTTTTCTTAGAATTGGTCTGTAATAGTTGACTTTCCCCTTATAGACCAGCTCTTTAACAAAACCAGTCAAATATCAGTCAAACTAGAAAAATAATCTCTTTGAATTCTGCCAATTCTTTTTGCAAGTTAACTTCATCCTCTTAGCAGAAAAGGTAGGTGAAGTGCATGGCACGTATGCTTTCCAGTGGACTAAAATCTCATAGATGTTTATTCCTGGAATGTGCCTGAGGAAACAAGTATAACATATATAGACTTAAGTTTAAGAAACTTTGAGGGATTTAGTTCTGAGAATGAGTGTGAGAATTTTAGGAATCTAGATGTCTCCTTGGGAACAGTGTCTGTACCAACATCTCTACTTCTTTCTAGTGGTACACACAAAACAAATTTTGGTTTCTCTTCATCTGGTTACTTAAAGCTAAGGCCTACACCTTTTGAAGAATGATTGTACTGTCAAATACTCCAGCTATTTGATGAAAAGACACTGCTACAGCTTGAATATTTGACCATCATCTTCACAATGAATTGTCAGGGAACCAACCCCAGGCTGAGAATCACAGAATCACAGAATCTCAGGA